GTCATCCCAACCAGTGTAGACACCAGAGCAGGAGAGAGTAGAAGGAGGGCTACGAAGTGGATTAGACTTTTGGTACATGTAGGGATAGTAAACTCTAAAACTGCTTAACCTGAAAATACCCAGATTTTAAAAAGAACCCTCAAAATTACATTCATCCTCCAAAGGACCAGTACCCTGCGTTTATATACAACATAGAAGCTTAATAAATCTTTCTTGTCCTAATGGCATTCTTGGAGTTTGTAGGGTCCCCTGTATGTTTCATTGGATCTTTGTAACAGCTCTGGAGTAAGCAAGTCAGGTTATCAGCCTGATTTTATTGATGAGTGAACTAGGGAAGTTTAGTGATTTGCCAAGTCATTCTGGCTCTCAAGGGCAGAGTTAGAGTGCCTTGCTGTCTTCCATTGACGAGGTATTCATTGCCAAAAAGGAGCAGATTCATCTCTTGTTAGAGAGTTAGCCCACCATGAGATTGGGAGCAGTGAATAGAAGTTGAGGTGACAAGAGAAGCAAAGGGAATTATAAAGAATTTCTGCTGCAGGAGTTCTTTTCCATTCCTGATTGGAGAGAAAGACAACAGAGGGCTAAAAATTCGCCACAAAATGAAAGGCACTTGCTGCTGAGCTTTATCTGCCACAGGTATTCTTTCATCTCTTCTAGTAACTGGTTGCCAGGTTTTTGGACCAACTCTGTTCTTACAGAAATCCACTGCTTAATCATACATTGCAATTAAGGATGCAGTTGATCAGCTTCTAGTGTTTGTTAGCCAGCTTTTCCCTCAAAGTTTGCCACTGGACAATTAGAATAATATTGTTCATTGTATTGCAAACATAATCATTCTCCAGAAGGGCTGGGAGCACTGGCCTTGTAAGTCAAATTGAGAAGGCACAGTGCTTCTGAAGATAAGCTTATATTTCTTTCACTCCGTTCAATAAATTTTTCAATAAATGATGTAGATAGAAAATAAAAGGATGCCACACATGGTACTACCTTCAGGTCCTGTGCTAATAGCCAGGGGCTTCCCAGTTCTGTGGTCTGTTGTGCCATATGTGACTTGTTGAATTTGAGAGCAGTCTTCATGTTTGCGGTGTCGGGTTCTGAGAATGAGTGAGGGACTAAGCTTAGTGAACTGGTGAGTGACAGCCTTCTCCTAAGAGACTAACATAGGGGAGCTTTTGGTGCCCAGGAGAAGTTTTTCAACCTGTCGCCAGTGTGCTTCTGTTGACAATGATGACTTTTTAAAATCATATTTGTTTTAATCAACAAGCAAATATTTGAGAAAAGAAAGAAAAGAGAGGAAATAATATCTGTGAGAGCCTGAGATAGCAGTAAAGTTATCTGGAAAACTCTCAGCAAAAAAGTAAGATTTATTCACTTAGGCACAGAAATCTCATTTCTGCCTGCCACATAGAGAAATGAAACTAATTTTAATAAATATCTGTAAGTTTGAGTGTTGCCTGGTTTTCCACTGATAGAAAATATTTTCTTCTTTTATCTCCCAGAGAACTGTTCGCCAGAAATATTTTCACCCAACTTACGTTTATTTCTGTGTAACTATTAGTTGGATGTAACAGAGGAAACATGAGGGCAAAAAGGAATCATGGGTACCACACTTTCCTGTTTGGCCTTAGGTTTCTAATCACAGCCAGTATTTCAGATGCCTCCTGCCCCTCTTACTGTAATCGACAGATCTGTAGGCCCCATAAAAAGTGCGCTTCATTTTCACCCAGTATAATTTGCTTCTGAGCAAGCTTTTGCATATTACAGAGATAATCACTTCTCCAGTATAATAATAGCTCTTTTTCAGTGCTCTAATTCTTCTGCATCTTTTTTATAATGAAGTGTTCTTGTCTTTAGTCTTTATTATATCTTTTTCCATTACTATCCAGTTTAGAAGTTATGCTCTCTCATTCGTTGTTATCATACGTTTTTGCTTTGTCAGTTTGCTTTTGAAAAAAGTGCAGTTTTTACTGTTTCTTTGACTCTTAAATCATCTGTGCCTTACCCTTTACTAAAGTTCTGACCTTCATTGTGATTTTCACCTGTCTCTCCCCTCCCAGTCCCTGAAGACAAATTTTTGCCTGGTATAAAATCTAGTTGCTGGAAGTTCAGTCCTTAGTTGTAGTTCCAGTCCGGGCTAATTGGGATTTCTTTTGGTAAATCTAGTATGTTTAGGTAATATGCCAAAACTTAGCATGTAAACCACAGCTGCTAATCTTTATATGTTTACCTACCTACCTTTTCCTCCCTCCTTGCCTCTTCCTCCCCTCTTCCTTCCCTCTATTTCTCTCTCTCTCTCTCAATTTATTAAACTTTAACTGAGAAAGGGGAAGGAACCAAATAACGTTTTGCCAGTTAAACCTGCTAGTGAAAAATTAAAGACAGATGGAAATTGATGGCATTGTTTGCTTAAAGCAAAGTATTATTGGCTTGATCTACGTAATCTTTACAGTCTTTCCAACTCCAGAATTCTAACCTTTAAAATATATATAGTTGTGGAAAAGTACAAAAAGGCCAAAGTTAGAAATTATTTTTAATTAGAACACTTGAAAGTAACATTGGCTTTTTTATTTCTTTCTAAACTCTGAACCAGATAAGAGTTTGCTCGTTATATTTTGACATAGATTTACCTTTTCCTGAAGTATCAAGAGCAATACTTGCTTTGTTTGTCCATTGTCTGACTCTCCCGGCTAGAATATAAGATTCATGAAGGCAGGGATTTTGGGGGTTTTTTTTGCTGTACTCCACTGCCTAGAACAAAAAACTATAAGCACTCGGTAAATAATTGCTGAATAAAATAATTTGTTAACTATTTTGTAATGGACCTCAGAAAACTCCCATGAAGCCTGTCTTCATTCCTTTTTCTATCCAAAGCCCCCAACTCCAGGCAACCCTCTAAAAAGTAGAGAGAGAAAAGAAACTACCCTATCTTCTCAGATATGTTTTAATGTAATCCTGTTTATGGCTTACAAAATGCCGTTTTCAGAGAGACAGGTAGTGTTCCTATTTTTCAGATCTAGAAAACCAAAGCCTATCTTAATGGCTTTCTAAATTGATGTAGCAAATTATTGGTAGAACTGGTATTAAAATTTGCCTTTGACTTTGCTTTTTTTCCTGCTAGGCCAACCGTAGCAGATTTTTTGCTGTTGTTTCAGGTCTACTTGGGTTCTCTGAACCTGACCTGTTCTCCCTTCTCATTCCCCACCCCTACTCAGCCCGCCAACTCCCCAAGAAAGCTTCGGCTCACCAACCTCACCTTCTTTAAATAAATCTCTGTTTAAAGGAACAAGAGAAGTACTGCACTTAAGGTATATCTTAACTCATAGAAAAATTGTAGGTAAAACTCATAGGTAAATTGTGAAACAATTGTACTTTAGATATAGTAGTCAAAAATGCCTTTTATTGGTTAAAGACAAAATTCTTCATTTTGCCTTTCCTTGTGAAAAATCAGACTGACATGAAGCTACCAAGATAGAAAATAAAATAATTATTCCTAATAATTGTCACTCTAAGACTACTAAGCTATTTTTAACTTCTAGTTTTACTTTAATAATTATAATACTGTGTTTAACTTCTGTTGCCATCTATTCCTGTTGATAAAAACACAGCCATCTCTTTCATGTCCCATTGTGGGCGAGGGTTCATGTTGACACTGTTACTGCCTTGGTGGGACAGCTTCTTTTTTTTCTTATTTTAAGAATGTACCATAGAATGACCTGTTGTTTCTTCCCTATTTCTGTATCTGTGACTTTTTTTTATAAGAGGAAGTTGAAGTGCTTTAAAATACATACTCACTGGTGATGCACAATAAATCTTACCTTGTGCCAGATGCTGGTGTCGTATGTGTAATACCTGTGACAGTAGAGCTTGCAGCCTCCAAACCAAACTAAACCGACCACACCTCTCTTTGCAAAATACACAGCTACAGTTTTGCCAATTACAATTACAGAATTTGTAACAGAAATTGCATGTCTCCTGTTGTTTGTACCTGTCCCTGATACTTTGGGTATGCCTTTCTCCAACATTCAGTGTCTCCAATTCTCTGACACCCGGGGCTTCCCACTACGTTCCCCTTTCCCTTAATCATTCTCACTGCTACCCTGGTGAACTGATCTCTGGTGATGTAATCATGGGTTAGAAGGTCATATATTTGCTAGTTAATAGACCTGAGAGGTTGGATGAAAAAATGTTGGACTAAAACAAAACTTTATAAGAATTTAGGGTAAAGCATTGCTAGTCTGAAGCATCCTTTTGATGTTAACTCTGTGGAGGTGGAGGGGGGTTGGTGCTTTTAGCTTCCTAATAAAGGGATTGCTCACTGTACTCTCGTAGACCTTAAAAAGAGCCATATTTATTTTACCACAATAAGAAAGGGGGAACATTAGAAATACACACATGCACACACACATACGCAAAAGAGCAGCAGGTGGAGGAGGTGGTCCAAATTGGGAGAACAGCACAAGAGGCCAATTAGAGAAGGAAAAATTAGGTAGTAGAGACTAGAACTCTCATGAGAGTGAGGTCATATCTGTCTTGCTCTCTGATGTATTCCTAGTGTCGTAAAGCAGGAACTCAACAAATATTGTTGAGTGAAGATGAGGGCAAGAGGCAGAAGGTAAGGTAAACAGGACAAAAGTTCAGGAAAGGGAGTCATTCTTTACATTTCTATCTTAATAAATAAATCTGATATTTGGTAAGGATAATGTTCGTTTTCTCTTCCTCTGAGTTTTTTAGCTTCTGGCCCTGGAGAGATTAGGTCCTGTACAGTAAGATAGCCCTATGGTCTTTCCCATAATATCAAAAGTGTCTGAAAAAGGTATTTCTGCCACCAAATATTCATTAACACCTACCTGGAAAATAATAATGAGCTTTTGAGATGTCTCATGATTTGAAGGACTTAAAGAAAAAGCCAGAGTCATCTTATTTGATAAAGCATATGGATGAAAGATTTATTTTGAAATCATACTTATCTATGTGTGACTTTCTTCTTTTCTTTTTTTTAGGTGGCGTCCTTAGCTGGGCCTGGAGGGCAAGTGGAAATAGAACAAAACTTTCTTAATAACAAACTGAAGACAATCACTGCTTATTTTGGGGACCTGATCCGAAGATCAGCCCCTGAATCATCACTGTGAGGTGGGACAAAAACAAAAAGATCAGGCAGTGGTCAGAACGTTATTCAGATGGGGCACTCGGAATTTCTTTTCTGTAGTCACTGGTATTTTGTACCCATAGTCTTATATCACATATGAAATTGAAAGTTAAATGACTTTTAATGATGCACTTGGAGATATTTGGATAATTTTAACTATGTTAGGATAGTGAGTGTCTGATATGGAAAAGGTAGTCTTTTCTTTGTGCTTAACATCAGTCAGTGTATGTTTATGTATGTACGTGCGTGTATCTGTATATTTTTTTAATTTCGTATGTTTTGGTTTAACACCTTTGTGTGTGTGTGTGTAAACAATTATGGTGGTTTTTTTAATACAGAGAGACAGAAAGAAAAAAGTCTATCCACCCATTTAACCCCTGCTGAAATAAATAATGTTATACCTTTAAGGGTAGAAACATAAACAGTACAGAATATACAAAATGAAAAGTACAAGTCTCCCACCGCCCTTTCTTCATTTGTCTAAAGATAACCACACCTGTGTTGTGTAATTCCTTGGAGGGCAGAAAGGAATTGCAGTATACCCTAATATACTTTTTTCCCTGTCGTTGCACTCTTCAGTAGCCCCTTCCTTTTTTTTTTTGCTTAACGTATCTTTTTTTTTAAGTATTTACTTTTTTAATAGTGTATCTTGAAGACCTTTCCACAGTCGTACATGCATACAGATCTACCTCATTCCTTGTAATGGCCAGCTTGTATTCCATCTTCTGGATATGCCATAATTAATTTAACCAGTTCCCTAATGATGGGCACTGGGCTGTTTTCAGATTTTTGCAGTTATCAGCTCTTCTGTGCTCTGATTAGAGTGCCCCTCCACAGCTCCCCATCATCAAGCATTTTAATTTTTGCTATCTTGTGCAAGAAAAATGGTATCTTATTGTTTGTATGCGTTTCCTTAATTATGAATGAGATTTGAGAGTATTTCCATATATCGTGGGTTTTTTAAAATAGTTTTCCCCTTTTAAACTGGCTATGCCTGTCTTATCAGTTTCTCTTTGGGATTTGTACCTTTTTCTTATTAATATGTATGAGTTCTTTGTAAATTGAAGACCCCTTTGTCTTTAGTAGGTGTTAAAAATGTGTTTTTCCAGTTTGCTGTTGGCCTTTAGACTTACTTTGCGATTTCTTTTTTTTTTTTTTCATGCATAACTTTTTAATTTTTGTGTACTCAGACTTAGCAGTCTTTTTTCTTCCTTGTTTCTGGGTTTACATCCTTTGAAAGATCTTTTCCAATCCTAGAATATAAATATATTTATCCAAGCTTTTTTCTAGAACTTTCTTGTTTTTGTGTCTTTGTTCCATCTGGAATTTTCTTTTTAACATCCTTTTATAATGTTACTATTTTTTAAAATTTACACTGCAAAAACAGTATGAAATATATTTTGTAATAGAGGAGTTTGTATTCTTTTTCTATTAAAATGGCATGAAAGGAGGAAGAATATGTGTTGCTTATTCATTCATCTAAAAGGTGTGTTCATTCATTTTTACACGTAGGTAAAAAGACAGAGACAAAGGACTCTGGCCATTGGGGGATCTGGGACCTTTATCTTTTAACAGTGTGAGCATGTTAAACATCAAAGAAAACATGGCTTCAGCTGGGATGGAGATGGGGGAATCAAAATAAATTGAGGGGATTTACAGTAAGTACTGGAAAAAATAACTATTAAATAAAAGGAACTTTGTTGGAGAATGGAGACAATGCTAACTTTAGTTTCTGGAAACTTTGTGTGTGTGATTGCCCTGCAGTACAGTAGCAATTGAGCTGGTCGTTAAGTATTAAATTAATTTTTTATTAATTTACAACATCAAAATCTGTCAGTGTTCTCAGTTTTTGTAATTTTTCATCATGGAGTATTAGTGTGTATATCATAAACTTGTCACCATTTTTTAAATAATGGCAGCATTGGTGATAAACTGTTCTATACGTGGCCCCTAGAACTACTTATACTTAGCCTCTGGGGTAGGAGGTTGAGGGGTAAAAGCAGATTTCCAAAATCACCAGTTATTTTTAGTTTTTGTCACTTAACCTTTCATGCATACACATTTTCCACAATACATTTTCTTAATTGTGTATTGTTAATATGAAAACTAATTTGTCTTCCTGAACATACATGATCTTCTGTGAGATGAGTAACAGGAAGCCTAACCAAGATTAAAATATTCCTGCCCACTAATCACAGCACATATAACTGATTTATACACTCATTGATAGATGATTAGTGCTCACAAGAACCTTAGTCTGTTAGGAGACCCCTGTGTTCAAGTGAAATCTTACCAAGAAGCCAAATGTGTGAAGTGACTGAAAAGTAAAGCCCTGGAGCTGCTCCGTGTCAGGCAGAAGCGAGGCCGACAGCCCTCCTCTAGCCCAACTCAGGCTTTTTTTTCTTGTTAGATTGCAAAACTTTTTGAACACATTTTTGTAAAAATGGATATATATTTTAACAATTTGAATATAAAGTGAACACCCCCCCACACCCCGTGCCTTGAGCCCCTTCTCTGCACCCCCTCTCCCAGCTTCCTTTCCCTTTCCCAGAGGCCAGCACTGTTAACACTTTGGTATGAATCCTTTGAAGCATTTCCCTATGCAATGAAAGCTGTCCCACAGTGAGATGGAGTGGGATTATGTTATTTTGACATTTGATTTTGTTTTTAATACGTTTTAGAAATTTTTTCACATCAATACATACATATTTGCGTTATCATTTTTAATAGTCACATAGTACAAATCTATGAGAATTTCTTTAACCATTACTCAATTGTGAACATTCAAATTGTTCCTGGTTTTTCCAATTGCAGGTAGTACTGCAATGTGTATTTCTCAGTAGAATAAATTCCTACAAGTGCCATTTTTAGGTCGAAGTTCATGCTTATTTTTTTACCTAGTATATAATGTCAAGTTGTACTCCGAAAATGTATATTCTCACCAACTATGCATGAAAGGGGTGAGTTTTCCCCACCCCCTCAAAACATTGCATGTTTTCACTTATTGTTACCAAAGTAATCAACAGACAATAAAGTTATTTTAATTTGCATGTCCTGGTTACTGGTGAGGTATAAGCAACCTTTCGTATATTTATTACCCAAATACATGTGTGAGGCATCTGATTTTTTCACCAAATGAATAGCTAATTCCTGCGTCATTTTCTATTAAATGAACTAACCTTTCTCTGTTAATTTGAAATCTAACCAGTGTGTGTGTATGTAATTCTGTTTCTGAAATTCTTGCTGTTCCATTGATCACTTGTCCACTCCTGTGCCATATGTTGTTGATTGCTGTAGTTTTCATTATATGTGTTGACTGTTGTGTATTCCCCACCCGCCACCCCCCCCATCATTAGTCTCTTAAAATTTTCTTGGCTCTTTCTAAGCATTTTCGCGTTTTTAGATGCACTGGAATTTCTCAAGGTATATTTTAAAAATCCTTTGGGATTTTTAATTTTAGTTTAGGAAGCTATCTTCAACCATTGAATCTTCCTATCCAAAGTCTTAATGTGTCCCTCTATTATTCTGATCTTTTATGTCTATATCATTTTACTTGTATAAATCTTGCATATTTTTGCCAAGTTTATTGCTTGATATTTTAGTTTGTCTGATTTTGAATGGGATCTTTTTTGTTGTTAACTTTTCTAGTAGATATATCCTTTGTATGTAATAATGCTTTTAGTTTTTCTTATATCCAGTCACCTTACTGAACTCTTTTAATAGTTCTAATAGCTTTTCAATTGATTGACTTCGATTTTCTAAATAGTCAGTTATGGCATCCACATATGAGTTTTTGTCTTTGCCAATATGTGTGCCTCTTAATTCTTATTCTTTTCCTATTGCATTCGTTAGAACTGCCAGGAATGTTGTGATAATGGCACTCTTTCCTTGCTTTTCATTTTGCAGTGAAAGTTTAGAAGCATTTCTATTAAATGTTATTGTAGCTTGCATTAAAATTAAAGGCATTACTTTTCCAGAGTCTTTTTGTTCTTATTTAATCTAATAAAGTACTAAATTGCTTTAAAAATTTCAAATTATTCAACCATTAAATCCTGCTTTATCATAATGTATTATTTTAGTTCACTCTGGGATTGCACTTGATAAGTTTACTTTGTTTTGCTTAGTTTTGTTTTTTGTGCACCTTGCCTGGTTTTGGTATCAGAGTTACACTATTCTGACAGAATGCTTTGGAAAATCTTCCATTTTTTTCTGTGTCCTAAATAACATTAGTAATATCTGTTCATTGAACCCTTGGTAGAACTCCAGGAAAATTGGGCCTGATACCTTTTAAGCAAGATATTGTGATGGTAGCATTTTCTTAAATTATCTTTTCTTCTTCAAGATTGGCACCTGAGCTAACATCTATTGTCAATCTTCTTCTTTTTTTTTCTTTCCTCCCAAAGCCCCCCCAGTACATAGTTGCATATTCTAGTTGTAGGTCCTTCTAGTTAAGCTATGTGGGATGCCGCCTCAGCATGGCCTGATGAGTGGTTCTAGGTCTGCACCCAGGATCTGAACTGGCGAAACCCTGGCCTGCCAAAGCAGAACACGCAAACTTAACCACTCAGCCATGGGGCCAGCCCCTTAAGTTACCTTTCTATTCAAGTTTTTTAATGCCTTCAAAATTTTTTTAATAATTTATAATTCCCTAGAAAATATCTGCTTTCACTTAGATTTTTGTTTATTGATATAAAGTTAGTACATATCTCCTGATATTTGCTCTCATTCTTCAACTTTTCATTTCTAGTAGTTTCTGTCATAAAACAGTTGAAAAACTAGCACAAAAGATTTTTGTATGCATTTCACTCATCTTCCCAAATGTTAATCTTATCTCACGCTACTGAGAAGTGGACCCAGGTGAATACTGAAGGAAATAGCAGAGGAATCTAAGAGGCAACTTGAAATACTCCCCAAGCCCTCACCTGCCATGGTCACAGCCTAACCAGGCAGAGGGAAGACCTCAGCCACGCCAGTGCTTCCCAAACTTCAGGCCATTGTCTGCTACCATCATAATGTTGCCACATCTGTGTCAATATGTGCTGTTTGTTTTTTTTAACTCAGCTAATTTTTAAAAACCTAAAATTTATTCAAAAATGAATTTCAAATAGTGCCATAAAGGAAAAATCACTATCCCCTTTAGTATTTGTATGTTAATATAAAAAATGTTCATCCATTTACTACCTAGAAGAATGCTACATACCAGACTTTGAGAAACAGTGGAATGGATGGTGAATGATAAAGACTCATATTGTCCCCTCAAGGAGCTGGGACGTGTGACATAGTATGCTGTGTACCATGGAAAGGTTGCCCTTTAAACAGCGTGATAAGTTATCACAGGAGGAGATACAGAAATAGAAATTTTGCAGGTTAACAAATTGGGAGGAGACATTCCAAGAAAGGAAACAACACTTAGAAGAAACAAAGGCAAAAGAATACTGAGTATATAAAATGTCAAATTCATGGAGAAGTTGCTAAAGAGTACGCAGGATATCCTGTGCCATGCTAGGGAGTACCAACTGCACCCTGAACCCAGCAGGACCCTTTTTTATTAGCACATTAAGTAAAATCTATGGGACAATCTACTGGCTACAGCAGTTTCTAAGTAGTGATACATGTAAACGGTATGTCAAGAAAGCTGCCACAACTAGAATATTACATGAAAACTTCTAAATTTCTTTTGATGGCAGAGCACAGGTATTGCTAAAAGCTTGTTTTTGTTTTGTGTTGGCCATGCACGTTCACAGACTGCCTGAATTCTATCTTGATCCCCATAGTGGCCCACAGACTCCAGGTGAAGATCCCCTTTCGAGAGATCTAGCTCAAGCATTAGGCCTGACTGGAAGTGGGAGGCATGGGAGGCGGTCCTCATCCACAATCAGTGATGCGCCCGCAGCAGGGAGGCAGTGTGGGGGGAGCAGATCTGAGAGAGGGTAGGCGGTGGGGCTCGCAGGAGAGAGGCAAGTTAGTGTCAGCCCTGTGTGCAGTTCCTTACTCACTCTCCCCACTAGATGCTGAGTTCCCGGAGACCCTGGAAGAAAGACAAAACTATCTTATCTGCAAGAGAAGAGTGGGTTAAGTCTCCAGCTTTGATTGGGGAAGGCATTCTGTAATTAAGCAAGGTGCCTAGTGGAAATACTAAAGAATATTAATGAGAATCATCTAGATCAGCACTATCTCACAAATACAGTATGAGCCACAAATGTAATTTTAAATTTTCTAGTAGCCACATTTAAAGAAGAAATAAACAGGTGAAATTAATTTTAATAATATATTTAACCATATTGAATATTATCTTTTCAACATGTAAAGGCTATAAAGAATTATTAGTGAGATATTTTACTTTTTTTTCTTACTAAGTTTTCAATATCCAGTATGTGTTTTAAACTTAGAGTTCATCTCAATTTATACTGGGTACGCTTCAGCCTCAGCAGCCACATGTAACTAGTTGTTAATGGCTCCCATTTCAATAGTGCAGGTCTAGATTTCTGAAGAACAGAAAAGAACGCTATTTTTCATTTTGAGGCTTTTGGTACTTTATAATTAAATCTAAAATGCTTAGAAATTGGGATTTCATTCTTTTTTTCTTTTTTTTTTTTTTGAAGGTTGGCTCCTGAGCTAGCAACTGTTGCCAATCTTCTTCTTTTTTTGTTTTGTTTTTTTTCCTTCCTCTTTTCCCCAAAGCCCCCCAGTACATAGTTATATATTTCTACTTGTGAGTGCCTCTGGCTATGCTATGTGGGAAGCCGCCTCAGCATAGCCTGATGAGCGGTGCCATGTCTGCACCCAGGATCCAAACCAGTGAAACCCTGGGCCACCGAAGCAGAGCACGTGAACTTAACCACTTGGCCACGGGGCCAGCCCCTGGATTTCATTCTTAGTGATAGGGAGCCATAGGACTTTAAGCTGGAAAGTAAAATTACCAGATCTGCATTTTACAGCACAGGATGAAATACTGTAAAAGTCTTCCTCCTGCCAAATGGAAATGTGAAAATCAGTCTTTCACATTATCTCAGATAAGAGCTTAGGAAGTCCTAAATTAAGGTTGTAATAGTTTAATTGTCCCGATTGAAATATATTCTTGATTTTTTAATCCTTTAAATAATTAAGAATTATATAACAGATTAAACTTAGTATATGTATATGCTGAAGGTTTTTGCTGTATCTATTGCAGCCACCTGTTCCTGAGCCTAGACTGCCTATGGATCTTGGATGAATTTGCTTGAATTCTTTCAGGAGGCCTGACCACCTCTCCCTGGGACCTAATGAAGAGCTCAGGCTCCACAGGAAGCCATTCTGGGGAATCCCTTCCCAACCTGCATGCAGCAAGGGCCCAGAGAAGCGTTTAACTCTGTTTAAGACATGTGCTCCCTTCATCCAAATTCATTTTCTTTAAGTTATTTTTCTAGTAATAAATAGAAAAAAAAGCATCTAAACATTAATTTACATGATAAAATGCAAATAGTATGCAAACACAATAAATATATTTCTTCTCCCCATTTATTAAATAAGTGTGTTAGGCCCTGGTAGACTTCAGAGATTCATAATACCAATTAAAGCAACCTTTACATACTAGTTTGTATCTCATCAGTTAGCAATTTAAAAGTAGTAACATCCAGTGCCAGTGTGTCATGATAAAATAACTCACTCATTCACTGGCTGGTCATCATTAATGCCTTTTGCAAAAGCAGCGGAATGGAATCTGAAATGGCTTAGAGCTCTTTAAAGCTCACTTCCAACCCAAGCCTGTGGCCACAACTCAATGATTTATGTTCCAACAGGTACGTTTCATTCCAAATACACAGTTTCTTGTCTTGTGTCCCTGTGTCTGTCTGTTGCCTTGTCCCCGGATTCTGCTGTTCCTCCTGGGCCCTCTCCACTGATGCGTTCATTGGACTGGCTGCACAGCTGTCCATTTCCACTCCCATTTTGCCTTTGGCCATGGTCTCATCCATCCTGGCCTCTTCATCTTTAGCCCTCAGTCCAGCCTGGATAAACTAACTTTATGTCACTTATCTGACTCCTGAGGATCTGTCCTAAGGAAGCACTTGAGTGGGGTGGTGGGGGTCGGGGGGAGATGAAGATGTTTATTGATATAAGGAAAAATTTAAAAACAACCCATATGTTCCATGAAGAGGAATAGATAAGTAAATTATATTTCTTCTACTCAAGGAAATATTATACAGCTATTTGTATTTTGACTAAGATGATGAAAACACATAAATGCATTTTTTCAAAATGTTTACAGTTCAAAAGTATTTTGACAGCATATTCTCTAGCACAAATAGTGCACTCTGAGGCCCCCTTCTTCGGTCTTGATACCACCTCTCGGGTGATCAGAGTGAGCCCTGTGATTTCTGTCTGCTCAGCCTTGCAGAGCCCAGCACATCTACATTGTCCTTCTCTGTTCTTGTTCAACCTCAAGACAAACACTGGAGAGCCCAGGAGAGCTGAGAGTGGGCTGAAGAGGGAGATTTCAAGTTCTCCCCCTTGGGACCCCAACCCGTTTGTTCTCTCTGTGCCCACTGCATGGACTCACCACACGTATTTATTCGTGCCACAAAATTAACACCTGTGCCAGAAAAGATACCATACCTTGGAATGGTCACATGCTCTTCTCTTGGAGAAAATGTAAACCACAGTTTGAAGCCATTATGGCTTATCTCCCTAGAATTGAATTTCACAAAATGGGCTTTTAATTTTTTTTAATTAGATTCTGGTGACAGTCTCACCATTTGGTATCAAGGTTCTCTCTAGAGAGAAATAGTTTCTAGTTGCATTTTACCAGACAACTATATCAGATGAGACCATCTGTTTTAAGATTTTGTACAGTAGCATATGAAAATAAAACCAGTGAACAGTATAGCATGAAAAGAGACAGAAAAAATGGATAAAAAACTACAAATGGTATGAGAAGTAAATCTTTACACTGTCATCAGATAATCATTAGTGCTTCTTAATAACACCGATAATGAGACATT